GTGAATGGAGAAGCAGGCACAGGTATTACCATGGCCTGGAGGGTGAGGGTTTGCAAAACCCAGCAAAATGTAACTCACTGTTTGTGTATTGACTCTTTTTGACAAATTGTTGACATTAAACGATTTGGAAGGAATTCTCAAGAGTTCCCCTTTTGTTCAACAGGCAGCGTGTGTGCTGCCCTGTGCTGGAATCACAGGAGGAGAAATGGCTTGCTGCCTGGATCTGTCAGAGGTCACAGTAACCTGGACTGAGCCGGCTCTTATTTATAATGGTTGCAAGAAGTTAGGAACTGGTTTTTTGTGTTCCAAGCACAACATTACATTATTATTTTTTTTTTTTGAACCACAAATCTCAGAACGAATCCTTGTCCCACGGGAGCTAACAGCAGCCTCGTTTACAAGGCACCGAATTAGTGACTTGACAGAACTCACTGACAGTTAGTGGAAAACATGGCTTCTTAGAAACTTCTGGACGAGTTCTCCACATTCTTTCATGGGAAGAGAGGCAGCCAAGGCAACCACGTAAACGTAGTGACCAGGCATCTGAGAGTTGCTCTGTGGGGTTCGAGCACATATTGTTCCGCTGTCTGTCTCCAGCTCTGGTGACCTGGGCAGGTCACCCTGACCCTGCCATGCTGTTTCCCTGACCGTGGTCCCCTGTCCCTGGTGGAATGTGAAGAGACCAACTTCTTTCCTAAACATTGACACGTAATAGATCAAAGTGGTGCTTGCAATCTGAGTTCTTTCCCGAGCGCGCTAAGAACTCCTGGGAATGACAGTGGCTTTCACATTGTAGGCATGTCCCAGCAGGACATTTACGTACCGGTGGCCCCTAAGCCCATGGGTTGTGAAGAAAATACTGACACTGTCAGCCTGAGGTGGGGCCAGCCAGGAGCAGGTCCGTTGCGGTTTTACCAGTGTGTATAGGTATATGGTTGAACTTCCTATGTGTGCCACGATATGGAAAAGTTGAGAAACTCTTGAACCTGTCAATATCACTAAGTAGGTTATGGAGTCACAGGCAATGAATAAACCTACTTCTTTTAGCCTTTGAGCACCTCGCACCCAGTTCCGAACCTTAAAGGAAATACCCTTCTTCTGATCTTTAGTCTGCACCTCGGAATTGACAGTGACCGTCCCCCAGGTGTGTTCTATGTAACTTTCCAAGATGGAGTTCATCTTGCAGGTCCTGCTGCTGGATGACTTTGGATGACTTTGGAAGGAGCTGAAGGCAGGAGCTTATTTGTGTAGGTAATCCAGAGCGTCATTGGCTGCAATTCAGATTGAATTTCACCACTGCTCCTGAAAGGTTGACACTGTCCTTTTTTTCCCTGATTTATTATCTCTGTGGCAACAGTGGATGGACCAGTAGGTGGGAGGCAGAAGGTGGGTAACACATTGTTGATAGGTCAGTAGTTCAACCGGTGGGACTGAAGTTGTGTACAAATGAATTGGCTTATTTACCCAACTGCCAGGGTCTGCTGCTTTGTTATTAGGATGGGGCCAAATAATCTGTTCTGAAATTAAAGGGGAATTTTGCCACTAGATGGCAGTGCCAGTATTTAAAAAAATAAAAGCACAAACCCCACTGGCATAGTGCCGGTTCCAATTCAGCTGCCAAATCCACTGTTAACTCTGACTTATGGTGACCGTACAGGGCAGAGCAGAACTGGTCCCTAGGGTCTCCGAGGCTGTTTATGGGAGCAGAACGCCCCGTCTTTCTCCCAAGGAGGAGCTGGTGGTTTCGAGCTGTGGCCCACACGTGTAGCCCCCTCTGGAGACCTGCCCTGCAGAGGGGAGAACAGCCCCGTTCGTACCAGTACGAGGTTGGCTGATCGCCTGATGTCAGAAAGACTCCCCTGACTTTTGGAGAACACAATTTGCTTTTCATCTTGAATCTTTATTACATAGCTTTTTTGTTTTCAGTCCTGGAAAATTTGAGCTTTCTATGCTGGTAGATACATTACCATCTTATCATGAAACTAAAGTACTAATATATAAGGCAAAAGCTTTCACAGTTTCATTAGTATTTCTTGTGCCAGTAATGAACTCTTGGGAACTGTGTAATCCCACCCTCACCCCCACACCCCCGCAGTACTTTCCCCGTTGATGTGGCACTAAGAATATGGCTCAGGCAGTGAAAATGAACTACAAGTTTTACTTTTCAAAGATCTCAGAAAGGGGGTTCTGCTGTGATTCGGGTTCCCCGTGGCTTTCCCCGCTATACTCCTTGTACGCGGAGCCACTTACGGTTGTCTCGTCTTACAGTTTTCTGCTCCAGTCTCTTACAGGTTTTTCCTTTTAATCTTCATTTACATCGTAGTGAAAATCATGGATATTACTCATCACCGATGAAAATGCACTGGCTGCCGTATTTGGTGATGTCAGATGCCATCAGGTTGGTTCGGACCCAGCGCAACCTTAGTTCAACAGGACGCCCGAGCGAGCCTGCAGCACCGTGACGATGTTCTGCGTGAGGGCCTTCCTCTTCTTCGCTGCCCCTCTACCAAGCATGATGCTCCCTTCTAGAGACCCTTTGCTGACCAGAGAAGGAAAATTGAAGTTAACTGAAATACTGGGGGTGGGGGGGTGGGGGTGGATTTATACCTAATATTCTTGCGAAAGGGCTTACTTGATTAGCTTTTCCAAACTTTGCTTTTACAACCTATTACTTTCTCAAGACTTCTTTATAACAACTCCCGAATAACTACACTTTATGACATTATTTTAGACTAATCACCGTTTTAATTTCCCACACCTGTAAATGTACCTTCCCGAAGTGACTGCTCACGCGGCTGGGAGAGGCCCCGCAGCACACACTGCAGCTACAGTGAAGGCCGCCAGGGAGTGCCTGCCACCCAGCCTCAGTGTTTCTTCTGTCCACCGCTGTTCCTTTCCAGAGACGCGTAGGAAGGACACATCAATGAGCAGGCTTCAGAAAAGACGTGGGGCGGTCCCCTCTTTTTCTAGCCACCTCTTTTAACCCTTTCCTTTTTACGACAATTTTTTGCATTGTGAATTTGGTGACGGTTTCCCGAGCAGGTCAGTTTTCCATTCGACAGTTCATAGACGTTTTGTTTGTCATTGCTTGTAATCCCCACACTATCCTGTCATTTCTCTCGCTTCCTCCCTTTGGTCCCTATTTCCATCTCTTCATTCTTAACCCTTCTCAACTTTGTCCTTGGGTGTATGCCACCCTTTGATCTCAAGTGGTTCACCATTCTGGGCTGTGCATACCTCCCCAAAGTAGTCCCTGGATTTGTCTTTTGTTGGCTGGAAATTGAGGCAGGGGGAGTGGGTTCATTTCCAGACCTGAAGGGTCGCAGGCAGGGGTGGGGGTAGGGGGTAGGGTTTACCATTCTCTGACCAGTAAGCCTAATTTTTTCCCCATGATCTTGAGTTTTGTCCCACAGTTTTCTCCCAGGACTTTCTAGCCTTCAGAGTAGTTGGTAGTGGGAACCGGGCGCCTTCCATGACCCTTGTGATGCCTCCTCGTTCTTGTGTGGGGTGTGTGTTTATATGGAGAAAACCATTGACAGGCATGTTAGGACCCTATAGCATTAGACCCACCCTTTATACCTAAGTAAGGGAATTAATTGAAACTTAGGGATTTTTGGTTGTTGACAGGTGGTTTTGATGTCTAGGGAGGTAGACAGGGACCATTGGCCTTTCATTCCATCTCTTCTGTAACCGTTCCCTCCTCTCTCTCATCCCAAGATCTGTATTCACACCAACCCTGGAACTTCAAATTTTACCCACAGTTACTGAGGCATAAAGATCTAATATATATATGTATGTATGTGTATATATATGGCATAAAGATCTAATATATATCTTTTAAAGGAAACTTTCCTTAAAGGGATCCAAATGAACTTCAAACTTTACCCACAGTTACTGAGGCATAAAGATCTAATATTTTTTGTATGTATGTATTTTTAAAGGAAACTTTCCCTAAAGGAATCCAAATGACTTGGGTGCTGGCCTTGGTCCTGCCCTCAGTAGCAGTGTGAGGGTCTGGCAAGGGCTCAGTTTCTCCCCTTGCCAAGGAGGAGGGAGGAGAGGTGGCCTGGCAGACGGCTCCGTCTCCAAGGCGGCACGGCTCCCTTCGGAAGCTGAAGTGACTGTTTCTGAGCGGGAGGCCAGGTGCAGGGTTCCTAGTTTGCATTTCTCTGGGCCAAGATGTTAGCCCAGGGATGGCTGCCTCCAGCTTACCCCGCAGAGGGACGTGCACTCTGCTTTTCAGAAAAGAGGAAACGAGAGTGCATGGATCTTTTACTTAAAGCTTTCCTGGTAAAGATGCACTTCTTATCCAGTACTTTCCCCACACAGATTTGCATATTAAAAACTAGGCTGTTCCCATTGCTAAGCAAGAACGTTTGTATTTCGTTTTTATCTGCAGGTTCTTTGGAATCAACTTGGGAAGCTTTAACCCGAGTGCAAAGTGTTTCTAAAGCCCAATGAGAATTCTGCCATCCGTAGCTAGTCATTGTCTCCACTAATAAGACAAAGGGTTTGGATTGCATTGTTAGCCACATTTCTGGTATTTCTGCCATCTCAAGGAAGGAAGCTTTCCTTCCAGCATGCTTTTTGTCGAATTCTGGGGGCCCCGTCTAAGGTCTGCATACCTGTTTGGAGCCGTGGTGGCGCTGTCAGGTGAGATGTCTGGCTGCTCTCCACAAGGCTGGTGATTCACAGGGGGAAAGATGAGACTGGCTGCCCCCAGACGGTGGTACAGCCTCAGGGAAAGGGTGATAGGTACAGCCCCATAGAGGGGTCTCTAGGAACTGGAATTCATTTAATCTCAGTGGGTTTGGGGGGTGACACATGCTTTATGCCTTGTAATAAAGGCTCAGATTAAAAAAAACCAAACAATAAAAACAGCCAGGTGGCAAGAGTAAACACACAAAATACTTTTATTTGTCCAAGCAAATAAATAGGTGAAATTACAGTTCTAATGAGACACCACCCGAGCTAGTTTATACACACAGTAGTTCACTGGGTTGGATACACATTGAACAACTGGAAAACTAACAACCTCCACCACTGATCGGCTACTCGGCCCCCAAACAAAACAAACAGTTCGCTGTTAGAATACAGGTAGAGGTGATCGTAAAGAAAATCTGTCGATGCCACACACTTTCACATTTTAAGATCTAGAACTGAACCATGAAGTACATAATACCTGCAAAGGATGGCAGAACAGCATTTTTTGTTGGTAGTATATTCCTGTAAATTTCAAAGTGATTTCCATAAGGGGGCACCTGCTGGCCAGAAAAATCACATTAGGATTTTTTTTATATTCTCAGTGTCTTAAGTAGATTTTAAGGGATCGAAATAGAAGAGGGAAGTATGTTTTCTCCCCTTATGGGTTGGGACACGCACAGTGCATTTCAACATTTCTCCAGGGATGTATTTGTAAGGGGAGGTAAGCCACTGGTGGCACGGCTAGATAAACAGACCTCAGATTCCATGCAAAGAGCTTTCATGCATATCGTATAGTGCATATAATGTGATGATAGAATCGGAAGTTCTTCAAAGTTTACTTTCCATTGGGCAAGTTCACTCACTCAGCATGTGCTGAGCGGGAACGGCATTTTTCACCACACGTGATCTGCTTTCGTGTCCACTCAGACATGTCCAGCATCGTATTGTAAAATCCCAGTACTAATTACAAAAAATGAACACGTACCCTCTGGGTGTCTTACAGGTTTACTTACAAAACTGAGCATGGGTATAATTTTAAAGCTCAAATATTTAAACTTGGCAGAAGCTGTGCCTACAAGCAGCAAAAGTATAAAGCAGGTTGTAGTAAACAGTGAAAAATGAACACTTTTTTCCAGCTACATCACGTGCCATCTTGTTCCAAGGGAAGCTCCCACAGCAAGGGAAACGCTGCCTTTCGTGAATTAGCCGGACTGCCCTAGTTCGAGACGGTTTCATCCTCTTACCAACTGGCCATGGCAAGGAGCTTAGGGTTGGGTCAAGCAACAGTGAATCTTTAAGTTAACGAAAACAGATACCTAGAAATTTGAGTAGTGTCGAGTGGTAAACGAAACAAAATTCTTCCTGACATGAATGTGAAAATAGGAGAAAACACAGAAAGGTAAAACTCTCGGCTCCTTCTCCCAGACAGACGGAATTCTGAGCTGAGCTCCCTGGGTTCTGCTTCTGTTCCACTTTACCTCCACACTGCATCTGTGGATTTTGTTCATTTGGAAAAGTACGTCTGCAGCTTTCTCTAAGCTACCAGAACGTGAAGAGAGTACACCTCTTCCTCCTCCCTGCACTGACTTCCCACTGCATACGCGTGAGGTGAATACAGCAATGTAGGACCGGTGACTCCGGTCCAAGATAAGAAAATAGAATGGATTTCCTCGGTTGGAAGTTCCCAGAGCTGCTCTTACTCCAGGTGCACAGTGGTAGCGACAGCAGACACCTCTGAGAATCCAGGGACACTAGAGGCTGAGCAGCAGGCTGCGAAGTGATTCGTAAGAGTGGCTAGTAACACCCACCTGTTCCGGGACCAACCGCTACTTTAGCCATGCAGCTCCTGGGCTCATGCATTGCCTTAGGACCTATAGTCCTTTCTGCTGTAGGGCTTGTTGCGCAAAATGTTATCGATCTCATTGACCACGTGTGATGTCATCTTTGGGAGAACCTGAGAGCAGAAGCACAAAGCAGATGGTTAGTACCGATTCGCATTGGTTCCTGGTGCTTGTTTGAGGGCTTTAAAATCGAACGGAAAGATCATGGACGCTTTACATTGAGCCTTGCATCAATGTAAAGGCACGGGACGGCTAACCGCAAGGTCGGGAGAAAGACCCCACTCGTTTCCACTCCGTAGATTTTCGTCCTCAGAAAACGGTATAGGGTCAGTGTGCGTCAGAGCCCACACAACAGCCCTGGACTTTTGCTTTCTTTTTGTTTATAAACCACAATTGGAATGTAACCTCCCACCATGTGAGCCCCTAGAGAGGTCAGAGGTCTTGATTGATTGACCATGCTGTCCACAGTGAAGACCCCTGGTAACCCAGTGGTTAAGCACTGGGCTGCTCACCAAAAGGTCAACCGCTCACACCCACCCGCAGCTCTGCGGAGGAGGACGGCGGGGCAGCCGGGCTTCTGTGAAGACGGGCCCGTCTTGGCATCTAAGGGACTAGTGCTGATCTGTCCCATGTGGCCGCTAAGAACTCCCCTGTTGGTGTCCGGGACTAACACCCACTTGAAAGCGAGGGGCTGGTTCAGTGACTAGAGCTGTGCTTGACCCATGCAGGTTTTCATTCGGTTATAGTTGAATGAATGGAAACAAAGTCCCCTACGTCACAGAAATATGGGGTAGCGGGGGTGCGGCGCCTGCTAGTAAACATGCAAGACTAGCCCGATATGTGCTTTTCAGTTTTGCAGTTGGCCACATTAAAATATGTGAAAAGAGGTGGACTTGACTTTAAAGTCATTGGATTAGAACCAGTTGAGCCCAAACATTTCACTAAGTGAGACGGAGGAAGATGCTGCTTCTGCGGCATCTCCGTGTGGGCTAGCTCCCTGCCAGGGCTCAAGTGTGGCTAGAGGCTGCTGCACTGGGAGCACATGGGGGTGGGGGGGTGGCGGCGGCGCGGGTTTTGCGGGCGGCCTAGGTCCGCGAAGTGGAACAGTGAAGTATGCCTGATGGTGGTGAGGAGGTTGGCGGACGATGGGAAAGGGAAATTGGGGCAAAGAGCATGGAAGGCGTTTAATGGCCTCTTACGGAGTTCTGCCTTTGATTTCGTCGGCAATGGGGGGACTTCAGAGGTGGGGCACCTCCAACACCTAGCTGTCGTGCGGAGGCGGCATCAGAAGGCATTGAAAGCCCGTTAGACATTTACTGCAATCCCAGCCCAACTCCCTGCGTGGAGTCCACTCTAACTCTCACCGCAACCCTGCAGGACAGTGGAACTACCCCCATGGGCTCCTGGGACTGCCATTCTGTACAGGGGCCATAAGGGTCTTCAGGGACAGTGGTATTGGGAGGGGAAAGGAGAGAGGATCTGAGAGGCATTTTGGAGAATGCCGACTTCAAAATCGCAGGCCTTGAAGGATGATGGTGCCGATTACTGTGATGGGAACATGGGGACAACGGAAGAAGTCTGGAGTGCAGTGTGTGCGTTGAGGGCACCTGTGAGACAGCCATGTGGAGGTGACTTTCAGACAGCTGCAAGTGCCTTGGAGCGGTGGAGCAGGAGGGCTGGAGTTGGGGATGGGGAGTCCTTTGCAGGAACATACTAATTGAGTCCCGGGAAGGGTGAGCTCATCCAGGGCGAGCTGTGCTGTAAAAAGTGGGCCAAGGGCACACATTACACAAGACCGGGGACAGAGACAGACATTCTCTCGCTGAAATGGGCCCTGTGTGGAGGCGGTTGTGAAAGACAATTATGACAACCAGTTCTGAGGTTTCAGCTTCCCCCTTTCCTGCAATCATGTTGGCCAAGGTGACCTTGTCTCTTCTCAAGTGCGATCTTCAGAAGCGGTGGGGTTTGGCCGAGGATTCGAGTGGCTCAGTCCAGGGAACTGCTGGTTCTGGGTAACATTTTCCCAGCCCACGCTGCACAGGAGTCTGACTTCCTGGCAGCTCTACAGTCTCAGAGCGGCAAACGAGCCAGCGAGCCAGTTCCTAGCTCCAGTTCTACACATTGTATTTGGTGGGGGGTTGGGGTCTGAAAACAGACCCAGAAGCCCTTCTTTTGTTATACCCAAATAAATTTTGGATACGCTCAAGCTTTAAGCAAACTGAGAAGGAGAGGGTATAAAAGTACTTGAAGAAAACATGACTAAATTCATCTGTTTCTCTCCATGCCCTGCCTGGGTTGAGGGAGTCCTCTCTAAGTAAGACACAAAATACAAGTGCCATAGGAGAAAATTGCTGAAAATAATAAAAATATTTCCAACATATTCATGACAAGGGACTGACTTCCTCAGTACAGAAAGAGCTCTTTGAAAACAGACAATTACTATCAACCTAGTAGAAAGTTTAGGCGAGGGCGCGGACAGGCAGCTCATAAATACACACACGCATACACACCAGGACATTTTGAAAAATGTAAGTTACAGAAACAGTAAACTGGTTTTTGTCTGTCAAATTGGTGAAGCTGTGGAACCGATGCTCCTGGGTCAGCATGAGATCGTTAGGAGTTGAAAACACGTGCAGGGCCCCGGGTGGGTGATGGACCTAAACCAAGTGGGTGGTGGAGACTAGCAAACTGGAACTGTGCTGTTGAAAGGGTGGTAGCTGCTAATAAACTCCCCTCCGTTATTCTCCTGTGGGGATTCCGATCCGATTGTTCAAGACTGAAATTTTTAAGTGGCCATAGATGTATAGGTCTTTGTGAAATGGCTCAGCGTCTTCATGGTGGCCACTCCTTTCGAACATGTTAAGCCACTGCCGATTGAGCAAACCCTCACAGGTGACTGGTTTGCAAGCTCTGTGTCCTCCTGACTTGAATAATGGGCTCTGAGAGGGCTGGGTAGCTTGACCGGGGCTGTGATGTATTAGAGAAGGCCACAGGAGATTGGGCCACTGTTCATCCACACCTGGGGGGTGGGGGTGCGCTTTAGTAGGCTAGGGTGGTGGCCACTGCAGGCCAGAGACCCATGAAACTCATGGTGGCTGGAGGAGGGTGGATGGGGGAGCTGAGCCTGGGAAGGTTGGGTCTAGGACAGGCAGGGTCTGACTGGCCTGTTGAGGATTCTGGACATCACAGGGTATGCCACGGGAAGGGGTGTTACAACTGAAAATAGCAAAGATGATCATGGGAAGGGGCAGGAACAAAGGCGATGACTGGAAACAGAACCAGCAGAATGCCAGTAAGGAGAACGTTCACACGGTGTGAAGCGCACAGCAACTCGGGTAGATAGCGTTAAATGGGAACTTGGACTACTGTGCAGATCTTCCCTGAAGACACAAGATTGTACTTAAACGTGATGGTATGGCTGGTGGGAGGGAGGGGGAAAGAGGCAATTCTGCCCATTGAGGTGGTGCACACCCAGGCTGCTCCTTAGAGCAAGGATGGCAGACTGTCGTGCTTACTTTGCTCATGTCAGGAGAGACCAGTCCCTGGGGAAGGACATCCTGCTCAGTAAGCGGAGGGGCAGCAGAGAAGAGGAAGGCCCTGTAAGAGCTGGGCTGACACAGTGGCTGCCACGATGGGCTCAAGCAGGGGGACCATTGAGAGAATGGTGCGGGATCCGGGGGTAGTGTTTCTCTCTGGGTGCGTAGGGTCGCTGGGTTGGAACAGACCTGAAGACACCCAACCAGAACAACAGGTGTGTGTATGTGACAGGGAGGGGATAGGTACCAGTGGTGGTGGTGGGCCGCCTGCAGCTGTGGTCCCCCCTCTCTAGGCACTCCCACCTAAGGAGGCTTTGATTTACAAACACCCCTTCGATGATGCATGCCATAGGCACATTCCATCCCTGGGAGCGGCTGCCTCACACCCTGGCAGTTTCCTCCCGTGACAGCTGCTGGCACACAGCCATGCTGTGCATTCTTCTCCCTGGTCCAGGCCACATCACCACACCAGGCGGCCCAATCACCTGGCTGCCTAGGCTGTGGGGAGGTGGGGGGAGACGTGGGAGAGGTGAGCTATGACCCCTGTAGGTGGCAGCAGCCTGACCCCTCGGATAACATCTCTTTGCTCTTACCCCATGAGCACAGAAACCCAGCCTGCAACCTGCTGGAATCCTTGCAGGGAGGAGATGGAAACACTGCCCCCTTCCAGCTTCTTCAAAGCTAGCTAACATATGCCCCCAGCCTTTGCAACTCAGCCCAAGAGTACTGACCCTGTGTCACCCCTGCGCCTGGCCCATCCCTCCTAGGTCGACTCTGGGTGGACCTGCGCCTCCAGGCGTGCGTCCCTAGGCCCTGTTGGGTGCTGTGGAAACCAGGGCAGTTCCCTGCAGCTGCTTGCTGCCAGACTGCCCGGGAAAGGTTTCTAGGCCATAATCGTTATAGACACCGACTCACATGTCTTCTCGAACAGAGCATCTGGGTGAGCTCGTCTGGTTTACTCCCCTGGGGGCCCTTGCTGAAACGTAGATTCTGCTTCAGGCCATCTGGGGTGGAAATGTAAGTTCTTAGCAGAGGGGTCAAGCTGGACCAGTTCAGTGCTGGCAGCCGTTTGTTTATCCTCTCTCTGTCTCTGCTTCACTCTCTGTCTTTCCCTTTCACACACACACACGGATCTAAGTCCCTTAAAGGTGTTGTTGTGGGGTGCCATGGGTCGGTTCTGACTCAGAGACCCTCAGTACCACAGGATGAAACACTGCAACACGGCCTGGGCCGGTCCCATCCTCAGCCTCTCTGTCACGTGGCAGCCCATTGTGGCCGCCTTGAGGGCTAGGCAGTACCTGCTGGGTTCCGGTGGCATTCCCAGGGCCTGGTACCCAGTGGGCTCCCCGTGGAGATAAGCTCAGTGAATTAATGAGTACCGTTCCTAACTCACTCGTGCTCAGCTAGCCCACCAGCGCTTTGAGGACCGAGCTCTGGACGTTATCGTCCCAGGACTCTCACTGCTGAGCACGATGCCAGACCCATGAGCAGAATGGAAACCACTGGGTTGGATTCCGGTTCGGTGGTGTACAGTCTGTTTCCCTCCCCTTCGTCAGCACCGTGCATCCTCTGCCTCTTCCGCCTCTCCCCGGAGCATTTGGGAGCAGAGGAGAAGGTGGGGGAAGTGGGGGGGGGCATTCCTCAGAGGGGGAAGGAACGGGGTTGCAGGGCAGGGCTGTAGAAGCAGCAAGCCTGAGGCAGCTGTGCTACCACCCAGCACGAAGACTGGGTGGCGGTGGGCAGGGGCTGACCATTTACCCCCAGAATATTCTGGGCTATTTTTTACCAAGGGATCTGTAAATGTTGTACGTCTCAAGTGTCCCCCTCCCAATCTGTTTCCTTCTATTGTTGGTGCGCTGACTTCAAGGACAAGAAGCAGGAGAGGTGCTAGGAGACAGTTGTGCACCCCCCCCACCCCTCCTTAACTAAAGGAACCAAGAGAACCCTGGCTATTCTGGCGGCGGCTGTAACGAGAGAAGTGGAGGAGTCCTGACGGGTGGACAGGCTCCTGAGAGAGAACCCTTGCAGCAGGGAGATCACAACACACAGCAACTCCCACCAATCTCCAGAGCTAGGATTTCCGGAAACTTCTCCCATCTCTCGTGGCCCCTCCCATCCCCCTGCTGTAGGAAGCATCCAGTGCCAGGGACCTCCAGCAGGGACATCAAGGGAGGGTGTGGCAATGGGCACTGCTGACCTTGCTGCCAGGGACACATGATCCTGGAAGTCCGAAAGGGAATTTTGAGCTACTTCTCTTAAAGCATGGCTAACATTCACTCATCCGACAAGTATGTCTTACTGACCCGGCCTATGCGAGTGGAGAAGCAAGAGGGAGACCCTGCAGCCTGACTTGGGGGCCACCGTCCAGCAGGGGGAGGGACAGTGACACTGAATCCCCAGAGTGCTGTGATGGATTGGGGGCAAGGTGCTGGGAGAGTGGAGGGGAGGGACTTGGCATCTTGTCGGTGGCAACTCCTCCTGGAGGCCCCACGTGCGTCAGAGCAGGACTGGGGTCTCTGTGGCTGGTTTTCTTAGAAGTCGACCACCAGCCCTTTCCTCGGAGGGGTCTCTGGGTAAACTCAAACCTTCACCTTTTGGTTACTAACTGAGCAAGTTAGCTACTTCTACCACCTAGGGATTCCGTGGTACATTGTAAAGTGGCAATTGTAATTGCATAAAGAACAAATACATGACCAGAATACGTATGGGTATAGATTCATGTAAGAGTCATATGACGACTACATTTTAAGCAGAATATGAAGGGGGCTTTTATAGTCAAGCCAGTGAACCCGCTTTCCAGGGGTCGCCTTGCTTAGGTCTCAGAACACCCCAACCCAGAGAAATGCACCATGATGAGAAACGAGCTTTGGTAACATTGTACAATAAGTAGAGGCCATTCCTGGATTCATGTGCTCTATATGTGCTCTGGCTGCTGCTTAAGCCTTTGTCTCTCTTCCCCTCCAGTCAACCCCTCCCTGAGATAGGCAGGTGTCGGGTTGCTAACTGTTAAGGTCAGTGGTTCAAACCCACAAGCTTCTCCTTGGCAGAAAGTTACGATTTACAAACCTCTGAAAACCTGTATGGAATTGCTGCAGAGCCCTGGTGGTGGAGTGGTTACTCATTGGCATGCTAACCCCAAGGTCAGCAGTTTGAAACCACCAGCTGCTCCTTGGGAGAAAGACGAGGCCTTCTACTTCAGGAAAGAGTTGGGCTTGCAAACCCATGGGGATAGTTCTGGCCTGTCCTATAGGGACAGCATGAGCTGGAATCGCCTGGGTGGCAGTGAGTTTGGGTTTTGAGTGAGTCAGAACTGGCTCAGTGGCAGTGGGTTTGGTGTTGACTTAGAAGGAGCCCTGGTGGCACTGTGGGTTCCATGTTAGGTTGCTAACCTCAAAGTCGGTAATTCAAACCCATCAGTGGCCCCCTGGGAGAAGTATAATGCTGTCCTAGAAAGATGTGGTTTTGGAAACCCTCTGGGGCAGTTCTACTCTGTCCTGTGGGATCACTATGAGTCAGAATGGATTCGATGGCAGTGGTTAGGTTGGGGTATGAAGCCTCAACTTGGAGTCAATGACCCACGGAGGACAAAGGTCAGGAGAGACAGGATACTGTGCAGGGACTTCTGAAGCCCCGGGCATGGCCGTCACCAGGGTCTGGCGGAAAGGACAGTCATACTTGCCTGAATGGCACCGAGGTTTTCAATGAGTTGCTCTGGAGTGGATGATCCCAGGAGCACAGAACTCACGCCCTCGTTTCTCAGGCACCAGGCTGGGGAGAGAGCAAGACATGACAGCGCACTTCCGAGGATTGCTTATCTATAGCTACCATTGTTGCAGCCAGAATTGAACTCTTGGGGGAGGGAAGGCAGTGCACTCTAGCACTAAAAACCCAAGCAGCGACAGTCCAGCTGCATAGAGATTTGATAGAATCTGCATTGAACCGTGGCTCGGGGCCTTGTGCACCAACCAGAGGCCCTGTGCAAACACCAGGGGCATCCTGCCAGCTACCACTCAGGGACACAGAACACTCTGGCAGATGTCTTTTTATTCTTAGTAGTTTTACTGGTGTAGACTTCACACATCATATAATGTAATCATTCCATCATAGTAAGTGGATTTGTGCAAGCATCACCACAATCAGTTTCAGGACATTGCTTCTCGTACTCATGGTTGTGACCCCCTCAGTTCCCCCATCCTCCCTTGCCATGCTCCTAAGTGATGATCAATCCAGGTACTGTCTCCGCGGACCTACCTATCTTAGGTTTTATAGACAGAGAATCATACCAAGCACAAACAGGAAGCAAGCAAGGAAATGAACACCAAGAACAATGACTGGACAAAACAGAAAAATCCTGATCAGAAAGAAAGACGATATTACAAGCAGAAGCAACTTTAAAATAGGTCAAAGGGAAATCAAATGATAAAGCATTCCATTTTAACTGCACTACGTCTTCCATAAGCCACTTTACTATGCTATCTGGTAGCAAGGCTATTCACAGACCTCGACTCTGGTCAGAGGGGATTCACCACAGGCTTATTCTATTTGGGGACGCTGCAAATAAATGTTGGGTTTCCATTGTCATCCATAGCCTTCTGCCAACTGGGTGTTCACAGTTTAAGCTCTGATACCATTCCCTCCTTTGGGTTTGGATGTTTTTGTTTATAATCCTTGGATCACACTGGTCGGTGTGCCTTTTCCATGTGGTCTTAGTTGACCCCTCCCTTGGCTGCTTACTTTAAGACAAGCCTTTAAAACTCCAGATGTTATTCCTTCTGACAGCCAGGCGTCATCTGTTTTCTGCACCACAGTTTGGCAGATATCTTAATTCCAGTCCACCTGGGCTCCCACTCTTCTGACTATAACTTATTTTTGTGCACATTTACCTCCTGCCTGTCACAGGAGCTCTAGCAGACCCTGGTGCCTGGTTTCTTTGTTTCCACCTACCTGCCAACCTCTGGACCTCTCTTTCTTCCTAAGACCAAATCCATCATGGGCCTGATTATCACAAGCACTCTTTCACCAACCCTCCACCCCTCGACTCCTGTCCTCACTCTACTTCTCTGGCCAAGTCCACCCACACCTGGGTGTTCTGCTCCCAAACGAGTGGCGTGCAGCTGAGCATGCTGGGGAGCATCATTAAAGCCCCATGGGCTGGCACCTTTGGGTGTCAGGTCCCACCCATCAGGGTCTTCAGCACAACCTGGCAAGCCTTTCTCTTGCCCCTTGTGCTAGTTACGTTTTATTGTGCCAACCTGGCCAATAAACACATGTGGGAGTAATTGAAGGGCAGTTTATTTGAAGGGCGGAGAGATAAATGGCTTGGTGAGCCTCGCCCTTCTGGTTCTCTGGTCTCTTGCTCTGTGACGGTTGGATCAGTGTGCATCTACCTTGGCTAGTTCTCTGCCTCAGCTGGCGAGGCTTACTTTCTGTGAGAAGCCACAGGTACTTACCCTGATGCAGCCCTGGGTGCTGGAGAAGTCACGTAGAGACCCCTGCCAGCACTGAGATGCTTACACCACCACTGGATTCAAAGACTTTCTACCCACTGGCTGTGATCCTCCTGCATTTGGCATTATTGTGTGTGTTTTGTGAGTTTGAGGACGACTTGTAGATCGGTGTCGGACATATGGGCTAAATTGGACGGCTTGGACTGGACTGGGTTGGGATGCTTTCTGAATGTACACTTACCCTTTATATAAAACTCTCAGGTATACATACATCAGTCTCTATGGATTTGTTTCCCTAGCTTACCCAGACTAACACACCCTTGGTCTCCTCATCTTGGGTCGACATTACAACCTCCATTCTTAAACACAATCCAACCCCTATCCCTAACTCTCACAAGATAACCTTGCCTCCAATTTGGTATAGAAAACCAAATCCCTGAAGTGGAATATTCCTTAATTTTCTACTCTCCCAACTACATCCGTATCTATTTCCATATCCTTGAGATGCAGAAGTTGAAGTTTTCCCCAAGGCCAAACTACTCCTGCCTTGTGTCCATCTCCTGTAGCCTCTTCTTGGGCTCCTTTCATCCATTTTACCTTGTTATCTCCTGGCTTTTTGATCCCTTTACCGCCCTCTTTCTCTCCATTAGGGAAACATGCTCAGATGTTTCCAATGTCAAAATAAGCTTCCTTTGACTCTTCACCCTGCCTAGAACCTGACCCAACCTTCTTCCTCTATTCAACGTTGAAAAGGGCACTTTAGATGCCCTACTCCTCTTCCTCACATCCCAGTATGAGGATCTTCTGACTATGTCCCTGCAGCCAATGCCACCAGGACTCTGCTAGTGATGGAATACAGTGACTTCTCAGTCCTTCGCTGCCTATAGAGAGGACCCCAGGTGGCAAGGTCAGCAGTTCAAAACCACCAGCCACTTCTCTGGACAAAGATGAAGCTTTCTACCCCCTGACAGACTTACCATCTCTTAGAAACCTGCAGAGGCAGTTCTACTCTGTCCTGTAGGGTTGATCTAATGGCAGCTAAGTAAGCTGCCTGCGGTAAGTGCTTACTCTTGTTGAGGTTGTGCCTGCTCTGTATCCCTACTAGGTGTCCCATTATTAAAAAATCAAACTCACTGCCTTTGAGTCAGTCCTGACTCAGGGTAGAACTGCACTTGTGGGTTTTCAAGACAGTAGCTACAGGAGTAGACAGCCTCAACTTTCTCCCATGGATGGCTGGTTTCAAACCGCTGACCTCCTGGTTAGCAGCCCAGCAAGCAATCCACTACCCCACCAGGGCTTCTAGGTGTCTGTGGGCACCATCAAACTTCTCCTCATTACTAGCCCTGTCCCTCTTTTATTCTCAGTTGGTGGCATCACTAGCAACTTGGCAGTTGTCCTTAAGGACTGTCCTTTTCTGATTCCGCATTCCTTCTCAATTGCCAAATCGAATTGTTTATCCTCCTAATTATCTCTTTAATCCACTGTATCAGAATCACCTGGGCCTTGTGAGAACATCCATTTCTGATTCAGAATGGGTGAGTAATGGGTGGGTCTGATAACTGGCATTTCTCACATGCTCCCAGGTAATGCCAATGTTGCTGAACCAGAGCTCAGGCTTAAAAAGAAATTTAAAAAAAACAACAACTTTATTGTAGTATAATTTACCCCAAATGTGTCTATTTTAAATGTACGACTCAATCATTTTAGTAAATGTATTAAATGTGGAATCATCACCATTTCTATCATCCCCAGTCACTCAGATTGAGGTGCAGTTAATCCCCCACTCCCACCACCAACCCCGTCCACCACGAAGCTGCTGGCTGCCTCTAGCCTGGCCTTTCCTGGACGTTTTATCTAAGTTTAAGCCTATGGCAAGTGATCTTTGATGTCTGCCTTCTTTCACTTAGCACAATGTTTTGTAAGGTTCATTTTAAATTTCTTTTTCGCGATCACAGTATTTCATCTCTTCTGAGGGCAGCATAGCATTCATTCCATCTTGCAGCTACCGGGGCCACTGCTGCTTCCCGTCGCCGCCGCCCTTTCCAGCCCTCGCCGTCTCTTGCTTACATCGCTCTCCTCAAACCCAGCTTTCACGGTCTCTTGAAATACAAACTTGATTGCATTACTTTCTTGCCTATAAATTCTTTCGCGTGTCCCTCACATAATGGTTATCGTATCAGATGAAGTCTTCTTTCTTAGCCTGGCCAGCCTTCCTTCCTTGCCCACTTCTCCAGCTTCATGCTTCTCATGCCCTTGGTGCTTCTGAAGCAACAACTCCTCGTAGGACGGCCACTCTGCCCCAAGCCTGGCTTTTCTCTTCGGAGCTCTTGGCTCAGGTGTGTTCCCTTGGAGTCACTATTCCTTTGCATTATTAGAGATCTGCTAGGGGCATCGCCTTCTCCTGAACTCCTTCCGTGAACCCCGAGCTAGATTGGGGATCCTTTATTCTTGACTCTCACATCCCCTGTGCCCTTCTCAAATTTTTTTTTGCTATAGTCTGCACTGAAAGCATCTGTGTATTTTTCTAACTTCCCCACCGGGCTGCGGCTCCGCATGGTATTTGCAGCTGGATCTTTAGCACCCAGCCCACTGCCTGGCACCTCTTGTTGTTGTTACCTGCCGTGGAGTTGGCCAGTGCCACGTGGCATCCCTGTGTTCAGTGAGATCGGACCTTGTGATCCGCGGGGGTTTCACTGGCTGGTTTTTAGAAGTGGATCTGTAGGACAGCTTTCCTTCCTAGATCATCTGAGTCTGGAAGCTCCCCTGAAACCTGTAGGGCATCGTCACAACAGGCAAGCCTCCATTGACAGATAGGTGGTGGCTGGACATGCGGGGGTTTATTCGGACACACAGCCACCCGACTGGACAGTAGAGCTGTCCCTGTGGGTTTCTGAGGCTAGAAGTCTTAGGGGAGGAGAAAGTCTCATCTTTCTCCCTTTGGAGTGACTTGTGGGTTTGAACTGCTGACCTTGCAGCTGATTGCTTGGCCCACTCTGCCAGCAGGTCTTCCGCCCCTCATCTACTAGGTGCTTATTCGATGCTGGTTGAACGTGGATACGAGTGATTGATGTATATCCCGGAGCATCACTTGTCTCGCATTTGCTCCAGGTGCTGCTGTCATTTGATGCTTTTTAACCTGCTACCCTTCCTGGACCTTTTAGGGCCCTCCCTGAAAGCATGCAGCTTTGTAAACACAACAGGGCTCTGCTGCTCCTTTTGGTGCATTATTTCCTGCTTTGCATTGGGAACACTTTTATTTTTATTCTAGTGAGACTTTTGAGGACCACGACAGGGCCCTGGGCAAATGGTCACCCAGCAATGACCGAAAGTCAGCAACTCTGATTCCCCTGGCAGGGCTGCGGCTGGCCGGAGAGCCCACTCTGGGAGCCGGCCAGCTCGGGGTAACACCTGCCGAGGATCCTGATCACGAGCACTGTGGCCCTGCAGCCAGGATGGTGAGGGTGCAGTGCCCGGCGGGCACACCCTGAGAGCCTCTTTGTGAGCAAGGGGGGGATGCTGGCCCTGTGCACCTGTGACTTGGGGAGCCAGCACACAGTTGGGTTCAGTAGTTTGTTTCCTGCCGGCTCCCTACCCTCCCCTGACTGCTCTCCCTGCAGATCAGAAGTCATGTTCCTGCAAATAATCCCTCTTTAGCGCTGATAGTTGTGTTTTTAAAAGAAAGTTTTTTATAAAGAAAGGAACACAAAGTGACCGGCAGAAAGGACAGCTGGGGGCACAGAGAGAGGAAGAGGAGGAAGGAAAGCCTGTTTTAATTTTAACTCAGACTCGAAGGAAGGTCTTTCAGGAACATCCAGCATCCAGAGAAAGTGTAAACCGTGTGACAATTTCCTCCCTAGAAAGAGACCGGTCTTTTCTCCCATTCAGAGTTAAATTGAGTACTCGTTTTCACGTTGCCACCTAAAAGCAGTGCTATGACTGCGCAGAAAATGTGCTTCTTCTGCATATGCCTGTGACGCGGATCACATGTCATAGCTTGGAGCAGACAGTGCACGTCTGTGTGACTTTGCAAAAACATCACCGACATCATCTTAGCTACACTTACTGAACACCCCCCCCCCTTTGCTATACACTTATCATTCTTTCACTTCACACCGCTGTGAGATAGGCAGTGTCGTGCTCAGTCTACAGAAGAGGAGCCTCATTACCGGGCTATAAGGAAATCGTGTTTGGTTCTGTCCCATGCTGATTAGAGCGGTAAGGATGCTCCCACACGGACGCTGTTCTTGGAGTGACAAGAGAAAACGCGGAGGGAGTCGGCATTGCCTCTCCTTTTCCTCTTCTTCTCTTCCCTCACTCGACTGTCCAACTTCAGAAAAGCTGTGCCTAACAAATGTTCTACTGTTTGCATAAACATGATCTTTGGGTTTTTGTCATTGCATCATGATATCTGACTTCGCTTAATCCCTGCGATGTCTTCCTCTTTAGCACTTTTCCCCCCTCGGTGACAAACCGATTTTTTTTTATTGTGATAAAAAGTCAGGTTGCCATTTTACATGTACAGGCCATCGGCATACTTGCATGCCCTTTGCCATATTCCCTTCCCGGGCCGTGGCCTCCCTGCATCCTGCGTCCCCTTTCTGCACATAGGCCTGGAGCTACATGAGTCTGAAGAGGGGTCCTGCTCGCTTGGGTGCACAGAATTGAGGTAGATTGGGCTGGGATGCCTTCTGGACATAAAATGGCTTCTTCATGGAACGTTCTTTCTCATGCCCACGTGAGGGCCACTGGTTTTCTTTCTCTAGACAGCCCAGCCCAACAGTGTGTTTGGCCACTAAACGAAAGATTGGAGGTTTGTGTCCCCCCAGAAGCACCTTGGAAGAAAGACCTGGTGGTCTACTTCTGAAAAACCAACCCCTAAAACCCGATGGAGCTCAGCTCTACTCTGACACGCGTGGGGTCCCCATAAGTCGAACGTGACTTGCTAGTACTGCCTCTCACACCCAGTTTCTTCATGTGCAAGGTGGAGGCAATAATAGTCCATAATCTAAAATAGGGCCAGCGAGGAAACTCCTCATAGTGCTGCTTGAGGACTAAATGGAACAAACAATACACGAGTGCTTAGCAAAGAGCCTGGCAAATAGTCCCCAGCAAGTGGACTGCGGGTCTAAATGCCTCGTGGTCCAGCTCAGTCGCCTCTGGGCCACCTGTGTGGCTATTTAGTGTGGGAGATGTGGCTAGCCTGAAGTGAGATGAGCTAAGGCAGCGGTTCTCAACCTGTGGAGTGCGACCCCTTTGGGGTCGCCCGATGCATAACAGTAGCAAAATGACAGTGATGAAGTAGCAATGAAAATAATTTCATGGTTGGGGGGTCACCACAACATGAGGAACTGTATGAAAGGGTCGCGGCACCAGGAAGGTTGAGAACCACTGAGCTATAGGTATAACATACTCCTTGGATTTTGAAGGTTTCTTATGGTACAGGTGCAAAGTGGCTCATTAACAATTTTTATATTCATTATGTGGTCAAAAATGCTGTGTTAATATTTTTGATGTGTCGGGTTAAAAAATTAGTTTTCCCTGCCGCCTCCTTTTAAATGTGGAAAATGAAATGTGATCTGTGTGTCTCCCAGGCTGCATGGTGTGGGCATATAAGGTCACCTTTTGGTGACACTGCAACATCAGAAGGACAATTTTCATGGTCCCTCGAGAAGTTTGGGGGTGACACTTCCCCTCACGGATCAGCTTTCTACCTGGCAGTGACCTTGACCTCTGTTACAGCCCTCTCGCTCTGCTTACCTTCCAAAGGGCAGAAACACAAGCCAGACCGAATGGACGGCGCCAGGCAGCCCAGGGGCACTCACCCTGGGCGCGGTGAGGGTGTGCGCTTCACTCGCATGGCCGTGTTTGGGAGAGATGGTGCCGTAAAGGAGAAAGGGATTGGGAGTAACCAAACGGTTTAGGGTATCAGAAATCTGGGAGGTCCTGAAAACATCAGGTTATATAGTGTTGGCTAGGGGGTTATGCTTCAGAGGTCCATCTGCCCCACAGTAGACACTTTATTACGATGGGGGCAGGGTCGATGAAGTGGTTATTTGCCCTCAGGCACTATGTGACTAGATCTTTGTGATCCAAAATGCTCATTGGCTGATATTTCTAAGTAGGTCGTCAGGCCTGTTTCCCTAGTTCCTCTTTCATCTGTGTGGTAAGTATATAATCTGTTGTCAATTTGAGAGGATTATGAGTGAAGGGGTGAGGTCTAGCCTGTCAATCATTGTATAGCCAATGAGGCCTTTGTATGGGCATGGCCTTCTAAGAATTCTGGGAACTCCTGTATTCCTCCTTGGAGGCGGGAGACACTCTCTCTCCCGGCTCACTCCCTGAGATGCTCCACTGACAAGACACATGGCACTATGCTGACAGACCCCATGCCCTGAGAACTGGAGGAACCACATGGAGACCCCTGCCAACACTGAGATGCTTCTACCGCCACTGGATCCACAAGACTTCCACCCACTAGCTTGTGATCTTCCTGCATTTGGCATCATTGCCTGTGTTTTATGAGTGTGAAGAGGACTTTATAGATTGGTATTGGACATATGGGCTAATATCGGACTTATGCACTTGATTTGGACTGGGCTGGGATGTTTTCTCAATATTCAACTGCTCTTGTATAGAAAGCTCTTTCTTATACACATATGAGTGTTTACGAATTTGTTTCTCTAGTCTACCCGGACTAACACAGTCTGTAAGCCCCACTGACTGACTCTTGGACAGCATCACCTCGCCTAACCTCGCCTCAACTCAACTCAACTCAACTCAACTCAACTCAACTCAACTGCCATCCAGTTGATTCCGACTCGTTTAGCAACAGTGTAAACCTCCACAGACAGAATGGTGGTTGCTGTATATGAGGTGCACTGACTGGATTCAAACCCAGGTCTCTCGGATGGAGGACGAGAATCCTAGCACTGAGCCACCACCGCCCCCATCCGCAACAGAAAGCTCTTGGTTTGTGTTGTCAGCAGAAGTGCTGCTCACCCCCCCTTCGCCGGGTGCTTACCCACAGCGAGCTGAGGTAGTGTGCATCCCAGACGCTCCGCAATCGGGGAAAGGTCTTTCAGCTTGTTTTGCTGCTTTCTCCCTTCTTCACTGACAATCCTTTCCTTCAACCACTGGTAGCACTAGGGGGAAGAGCAACACCGAATGTTAGCACCATGGGAGGGTTTGCTGTGGAACTGGGTAACACAGAAGAGTCTCACGGCCAATTCCTGAAGCTTCCTCTCATGCTCCTGTATGTTCCCCCATCGACCAGGCTACCTACGTTTTCATGCAAAAGAATGTTCTCCATGCCTTTCTCTGCCGACTGGCTCAAAGCAGATGGATTAGGACTCATATTCACCAGTTCAACTGATCAACATGCATGAAACATATTAAAACCCTGACACGTAGTCAGTTATATTACTGGCGGCTAAGTGGAGGAAATGCTTTTTATTGGCATTTTTATTGGGATAGCCCAAAGTGCAGTCACATTTCACCAAGGTCTACTCTGCTTCCTCTTTGGCAAGAAAGCAGGGCGCCAAGCTTTCTGCTCAAAGGAAGCCATTATCTTACCTTCTCTGTAGAACTATCTTCCTCCTTCCTGCCTGCAAATTCACACCTAATCTGTCCTCATAACAGACCTTCATTGTTCGCTTCCCCAGCTCCGCGGTATAATTTACAGGTACATTTTTTCAAAGTTTAAAGTGGGCAAAGATTTTCCCAAATGTGTAGCTCCTGTTGTATAGCCATGGAAATGGAAGAAGGTAAGGAAATTCCAGGCAGGTCACTCATTGCAAACCTGGAAGAGACTGACCCTGGCCTGCAGAAGAGAAAGTGAGCCTAATGTCCTCAGTACAAAGAAAAAAATCTCCCAGAACCTAGCGCTGCTTTGACAATGAAACCCAGGGAACTACAGGCTCCTGGGTACAAAGCTAGCCTGAAGCAGCAAGACCCCAAGGAAAAGATTTGGTCTGTTGTAGTGGAAATGAGAACCATGCCACTGGGCAGCCCTGCGGACTTCTCTGTTGAGTGGATTTGACATCATTGCTACCTTGGCCCTTGGCCTCCCCAAAGGAGGCAGAAAGCTTGGCAGTCACTGCTGTGTCCTGGACCCTCCCCCCTACGGTTTCAGTAGGCTGCTGGTTTTTGTTGTTGAAGGGGTTTCCCCATCACCAGGTAGCTACCTTAGATTGTACTATGAGCTTGGAAGGAGTTTGCTGATGTAGGCCAGAGAAAGGGTGAGCTGCCCTTGTCCGGCTTGTGGTCCAGCGCCTGACTTGGGAGTCTGCCGTGGGACGGTTGCCAAGAGCTCTCCCTAGCAGGCTCAGCTAGGGAAAACACAGGCTTCTTTCCTCCAGGAGGCAGGGGGGCCTGGAGCATCTCTCAGGATGACAACGATGCCCACGATGATGTGGACACCGATGATGTGGACACCGTGACCCAGGCCAGGCCGCCTGCCCTTTATGGTGGAGAGCCTGCTTTTGCTGCCCTCCCTGGGAGGACCGTCACCAATCCTCACTGCTGTTTCAGAACCCCTTTCAGGGGACCAACATCTCTGAATGTTATTCAAAAGAATAAAGTAGAAAACGAACAGCCAAATGCTTTCTGAGCAAGAGTTGTTGCTTTAATGACTAGGGGCGTCCCTAAGGCTTTCCTGTGTGTTGTTAGCTTCTGCAATGCTGGCCCCTGAGTCAAGGACACCCCACGCACAGCTGAACAATGAAACTGCCCGTTCTGGTTCCATCCCGTTGTGATGGCTGACGCTATGTGCCGGCATGGCCAGGCTGTAATTCTCCGTGGTTTGGCAAATGCCATGTAATCACTTTCCAGTTTTGGATCTGACGTGTGAAGTCATTCAGTTAGAAGGAGAGTTTCCCTCATAATAAACGACTGGAGTTTCAATAACAAATGGATACTATGGCTAAGTTTGTTCTCTTGACGCCATCATTTCTTCTGACACCTGGTTCTGACCTCGGCCAGAAGAGGCGGTCAGCCTGTTGCCTGATTGGTGCACTCAGGACTTACCGGAGCCTAGAATTATGTGAACTGTTTCCTTACAGTTATGTTAGCCATTTTTTTGGTATTAAATTTGTCTATCTATGTATATATACATACTGGTTTTGCTCCCCTAAACTCCATGCTATCGAGTCAATTCCAACTCACAGTGACCCTATAGGACAGAGCAAACTGCCCCTGTGCTGAGACCGTCACTCTTTACAGGAGTGGAAAACCTGGTCTTTCTCCTGTGGAGAGGCTGGCTGGTAGGCTGGTAATTTTGAACTACCGACCTTGCGATCAGCAGCCCAATGCATAACCACTATGCCCACATTGCTCCTCTTGCTCTGGAGAGCTCAAAGACACGCATCAATTGGCTGCTTTCAAGTTAGATCCCCAGGCTTTCCCTCTGAGTTTATCTTCATGTGAAAGCCCCGCTGAAGCCCGTTCAGCACCCTAGCACCCCCAAAGCCTCTACTAACAGGTGGGCGTGGTACACACGGAGTACATTAGCCAGGGTAGACCAGGGCCTGCTGCATGAACAGTGGGAACTGAAGCACTGAACACCAATGCCCCCTTTCAATAACTACCGCAGCCCTCAACCACAGCTCATTCAATTCCTTACCTGGCATTCTTATGAAACACGTCTACTTTGAAATTGTAAGTCATTTATAGGCAATGCATAGAAATATTTTGGTTTTTAGGCTTGGGTTACATACTTGATGTATATGTACACACACACACATACATAATGGATTGATTCCCTTGAGACAAACCTCCAGAAAGTAACAAATTGTCTTCCTGTGAACCCACCCTAGGACCACGAAACACATTTCTGCTTTAGTCAGTGGGAAAAATAGCAGCTTCAGGTTTAAAAGAAGTAGCTGTGCACAGATAACGTTATACTGCTTTCCTCTTATTTTCTTCTTCCTAAAGTTCATTTTGTTGTTAGGAATACGCACAGCAGAACTTAAGTCAATACAAAAGCTCCTATAGGCACAATGGCATGGCTGTCGATTGCCTTCTTTGCGGTGGGCAGCCTTTCCACCGTCCCTTTCTGCGTGGTTCCTCCCGTATTAACACGTGTTCCCCGTCTTCCAAGGATCCCAGATACTCTGTTGAGGAGTTGCTGTTATTGATTTCATCCCATACAGACTTCTTAAAAGATCAGAATGCTCAAGGCAGGCTTGTGTTTTTTTTTTTTTTCTAGTTAAACTAAACGATGGTTTGGTTTTGAGATGACGTCAGGGGATATTTAAGTATAAGATTTAAAGATTATCTCAGGGCAATAGCTTCAGGGATTCATCCAGCCTCCACAGCTCCAGAAAGTCTAGAGTCCATGAGTATTTGAAACTCTGCTCTACATTTTCTCCCTTTTGATGAGGCTTCTTCTATGAAATCTTGGATCAAAATATTCAGTAGTGGTCTGGGGTACCAGGTACCATCCAGGTCTTCTGGTCTCATGGCAAAGGAGGCAGTTATTTCTGGAGGCAATTAGTCACACACACACACACACACACACACACACACACACACACACACACATACACACAATCATATCATCCATGAATAGATATTATTTACTTTTTTACAATATGGTTAACTTTTCTTTCTTTTTCTTTCTCTGGCTAGGCTTTCTAGTATAATATTGAATGGATGTTGAGAGCAAGGCTCCCTTGTCTTATTTCCAACTTGAAGCAGAAAATGATCAGCATTTCTCCATTAAGTATTGGGTTGTCCGTTGTCTTTTCATATCTGCCTTGAGGCATATTGAAGGACTTCCCTTCCATTCTAATCTTCTTTAGGTTATCATTTGCTTTTTAAAATCAAATGTTTACCGGAGGAAATAAAGGTGCTTTGAAAATAGGTGGATTTGGTTTCTTTAAAAATGCGACATGTTGCCATAAGGAAATGAGGCTTCATTAAAATATTAAGTAAACATGGAAAGATGGCAGAGTTTTCATAAGAATATTGGTAGTAGGCATCTGTGTGCAATACAAAACTGTGGACAGTAATCCATGGATCCAGATGGAACTTCTTCTGAACCTGTAATGGAGTTTAACCGATTGCAATATGGTGATTTTGTTACGTGTTGGTCTTCCTCACTAAACTGAGTGGCTGGGGTGTGCGGAGTGGGGCGGGGAGTGAAGGCGTTTTACTCCTGGCAACATCTCTTGTCCTGGCTTAGTGCCTGACTGAGTTGGATCTCAGCCAACATGGTGGCAAAGGAGGAAGCTGAGAACCAAGATTCCATGGGGTCAAAAGAAATGGCTTCAGGTTCTTCAGACCGAGTGCAGACGGCCCCTCCTCAGTAAAGTGCAATTCTGTTGGCCGTCCTGTGTGACTGCAGTGTGATTCTTCTAACCCAGAACTTACTACATCATCACCCTGTTTAGGAAGACCCCCAAGGGTCTTTACTATGTTTTTATTTCCCCCCTAGATCTTTAGAAGCCAGAAAATCCAGCGCACCATAAATATAAGCCAAAGGAACAGTGAGTATAAGTGAAAGGCTCAGTAAATATAAGCCAAAGGAACAGTGAGTATAAGTGAAAGGCTCAGTAAATATAAGCCAAAGGAACAGTGAGCAAATTTTCCTCTAATGCTTAGTGAGTTACGACTTCTACTCATAAGTCATGAACGTCTTTAAATTTTTCTAAAGCCCATTTTCTGGTTCCTCCTGATTCTATGACCATTAGAGTATGTGTGTCTCCTTATTACAGGTCGTAATAATAGGAGGCAGTGGGCGGTGAGACTGGCCACCGATTGGCTGTTGGTTACATCTGGATTAGAACTCAAGCAGTGGCCATCCAGCCATCCAGAGAGTGCCTCTGCTTTATCTCTGAACCGTGTCTAGATCATTTAACTTCCCGGACTACTTCTATTTAAACAGTAAAGTCAAGGGCTCAAAGGAGCCACAGAGTTCCCATTATTGATGTCAAGATTTCTGGTAACTTGTCGGGGCTGAAAATATTCCCTTCTGAAAGTACACCATAATGTGCTATAGCCTCAGTTTCTACATGCGAATGCTTGAAGTGCTTGGACCCCGCCCTATAATTTTGATTCTTGGAGGTTGTTTTGTCTATTCCCTATTTTCCTCTGATGGAGGAGCATATTTCTCTAACTTTAAAATAAAACATTTTGCTAACAA